AAGGATGATATTAAATGTGATATAGATACTTGTATGTGTCATTACGGATATTTCCCAATGTTATTGAATGGAACAATTAAATGTTCACTAAAGACTTGTGGAAATGGAATTGTTGATGATGGAGAAGAATGTGATGGAGGCATTGGGTGTGACCACTGTATTTGTAAAGAAGGATATAGTCCATACTATACACCAAGAAAATCTTGTTTATCAATGATGTGTGGTAATAAAATCCTTAATGATGGAGAAGAATGTGATGGAGGAGATGGATGTTATGAATGTGAGTGTCAATCAGGATGGTACAAAACTGGAGATACATCTTGCCGTTCATTAGAAATTGGACTTTTTTTAAAGATAGAAACAAGTTCTGGAGTAGTTTTATATATATTAGTATGGTTATGTTTATTAATTATAATAATGTTTAAATATAAAAAATTAACATTAGAAATTAAAGAAGAATGGAGAGCACAAACCGATTTACCATTTTTGGAAAGTACAATTATTCCATTTAATAAAACAAACTCACAAAAAATTGATATAAGAACAAATACACATTACTTTGAGTTTGATAATCCTTTAATCAATTTTAAGGATATTGATAATAGAATGGAAGTAGACGAACCTGTTCAAACAACTGTTGAATTAAAAAATAATTATAAAGAAGCACTTTATTTTACATTTCATTGTGGAGAATATCCAAAGTATGATATTATGTTCAGTCCAGTAATTGGGACAGTTAGACCTGGAGATTCTATTATAATAACAGTTAATTTAATAGTCAAATGTACTACCATTTTAAAAGAACGTGTTCCGGTAACACTCCGGTATGGTAAATTAAAGTCTATTTTAAAAGAAATAGAAAAGAATAATCCTGAAGTACTACAAATTAATTCAAGCCAAAATAGTGATATTTCAGATGAATTAAGAAATAAAAGTGATACGACATCAAGTTATTCTACAGATAAAGGTCATACAATAACAAAGAGTAGTTCAGGGATTTCAAATGGAAGTGGCCAAAGTAAATCAAAGAAAAATAAAGAGGATAGATTAAAGGGTATTCATAAATTCCATGTTTATTTAAATCTTCAAGTTGAATCTGCTCTTTCAACAAAATTAGATTATGAAGAAATTAATTTATTCCATCCACCTATTGGTTCTGGAACTTTTGGTATTGTTTATCGTGCAGAATGGAGAAAGGTTGATGTTGCAGTTAAAGTATTAAAAACAGATTTAGTTGATTTAAATGATTTATTACCTAACTTTATGCAAGAAGCAGAAATGATGGAAAGAATTAGATGTCAATATGTAATAAATTTCATAGGAAGTGTAGTGTCAAGTGATACACTATGCTTAGTAACAGAATTTTGTCCATTAGGGTCATTAAGAAAATATATGAAAACAAATCCAATGAGTGAATTTTTAAAAACTAGGTTTTGTCAAGATATAGCACGTGGAATGGAATATTTACATGAAAATGATATTGTTCATCGTGACTTAAAAACAGATAATATCTTAGTTTATTCAAATAATCCACATGATGCTGTAACAATTAAAGTTACTGATTTTGGAACATCAAGATCATTTATTGAATCTTCAGGAAATATTGCATTACAAAATATTGGTACTCCAATGTATATGGCACCAGAAATATTCCAGTTAGAACAAATGACATTAAAATCAGATGTATTTTCGTTTGCAATTTGTATGTTAGAAATATGGTTAGGAAAAGAACCATATGACTCAGTAAAATTCCCAGACTCAGAATCAATTTTAAAATTTGTATGTTCAGGAAAAAGACTTCCTATTTCAGATGATTGTTTGGTAAAAACAATTATTGAACAATGTTGGGCACCAAAACCAAATGAACGTCCAACATTTAAAGAAGCTGGAAACCTTTTATTACCTATTATTGTTAATTTAACAAATACTAATACAAAAAAAAGTTCAACTAAAACAGGAGGAAGTAGTCATTCTAATGAACAAAATATAGATATACATAAAAGAAAATCATTTTCATTACTAAATAGTTCTGAAGTTTCAAGTGAATATGTATCAATTAATTTAAGTAAGAAAGAAAAAGATATATCAATTAATGAACAAGAAATAGAAAAGTAATTTGTTATATAATTTATAATACTTTTATTAATTATTAATAAATTTTAATTTTAATTTCATTAAAAAATAAAAGAATTTAAAAATACTTTGTAAATTCAAATGTAAGTAATTGTAAAAGATTCTTCAGTTCCTTTTAAATAAGGAATACAATTAATGATATTAATTTCTGCAGTTCCATCAGTATTTTTAAGAATGGTTTGAAGAGTAGTTATAGCTCTATTAACTGCATGTTCTAGAGGAATTCCTTTAATAATCCAACTTAATAAAGTATACGTTAAAGTATCTCCTACTCCAGTAAAATCTCCTTCAATACGAGGAATTTTAATAATAAAATTTTTATTATTTAGTGTGTCTTTAAAACTACATAAAAGAATAATATTATTTCCTTCTTTAATTGAAGTAACTAATATTACTGGTATTCCTTGTTCATGAAGAACATGACATGCTTCAAGTGCTTCACTAACTGAATTAACTTCTAACCCTGTTAAAAAAGATAATTCAGTTGCGTTTGGAGTAATAATATCTGCATATTTAATTAATTCTTTCATAGAGTCTTGAACTTCAGACTTAGTGTACATCTTACCATTATCACCAAGAATTGGGTCACACAAAAAGTATACTTTCTTATTGTCTTTAATTTTTTTTACACGGTTAATAGTTTCATTAACTAAATCTGAAGATGGAAAATATCCTGTAATAAGAAATTCAATATCTTTATCCAAATGATTAACTTCTAATGAATCCATAATTGATATAAAATCATTAAGTAATACTCCATTTCCTCCAACAACTGGATAACCAGTATGGTTTGCAAGGTGTGTAGTTAGGACAAATATGGATTGAATTTGGAATGAATCCAAAATGATCATCCCGCATCTATTTCCAACAAATCCTGAACAAACATAAGAACTTATAGTGAGGACTTTATTGGTCATTAAACCAAGATTATTATAATTAGTTCAAACGTTTTTTTCTTTTTTTTTTTGGAGTCATTTAACCATTTGAAAAATTTTCTTTATTTTTCGTTAAATAAAACAAAAATTAAACTTATATTAATTCTTTCCAATTCAACTAATTACCAAATCTTTGTTATTCTCCTTTTTTCTAGAAAGTCCTTCCTTCGTTTCCTTTTTTTTTTTTAATGGATTTAAAACGATTAATCTGTTTTCATTAATTTATTCATTTTCTTCATGTCCACTACAACCAATGGAAGTGAATATTTAAAGGTTCCACATGATATTGTTGGAGATATTCCAAATACTGAATGTCCAATTACAATTAGTGATGTATATGCTGCGTCTAGAAGAATTAAAGGATATGCTTATTATACTGCTTTAGAATACTCAAACACTATCTCTAAGAAAGTAGGATGTAAAACGTATTTAAAGTTAGAGAACTTACAAAAGACTGGATCATTTAAAGTTAGAGGTGCTGTTAATAAAATTGCTACATTAACTGAAGAAGAAAAGAAAAGAGGTGTAGTTGCTGCATCTGCTGGAAACCATGCACAAGGAGTTGCATTTGCATCAACTAGTGCAGGTTGTAAAGCTACTATTGTTATGCCAGAATTTGCTTCTACTGCTAAAGTCACTGCAACAAGAGGTTATGGAGCAGAAGTTGTTCTTCATGGTAAAGTATTTGATGAATCATTAGCCTATGCCATGCAATTATGTAAAGAAGAAGGTAAGACATTTGTTCATCCATTTAATGACCCATGGGTTATGGCTGGTCAAGGAACAATTGCTCTTGAAATTCTTGAACAATTAGAAAAATGTGATGTTATCATTGGAGCTATTGGAGGAGGAGGACTTATGTCTGGAGTTGGTTTTGCTGCTAAACAAATTAAACCAGAAATTAGAGTTATTGGTGTTCAAGCAGCTGAATGTCCATCAATGGCAGTTTCTAAAGCAGAACACAAGATTTGTTGTGTTAAGACAGCAAAAACTATGGCTGATGGTATTGCTGTTAAAGCTCCTGGTGATAAAACAGCACCAGTTTTATTAAAGTACGTTGACGAAATTGTTACTGTTGATGAAGAAAGTATTGCACAAGCTATGTTATTAATGTTAGAAAGATGTAAAATAGTAAGTGAAGGATCTGGAGCTACTCCAGTAGCTGCATTATTGTCTGGAAAGATTAAAGGACTTACTGAAGATACAAATGTTGTATGTATTGTTTCAGGAGGAAATCTTGATGTTAATGTTATTAATAAAGTTATTGAAAGAGGTCTTGTTAAAGCAGGAAGAAGAGTTGAATTCACTGTTGAAATTGCAGATGTTCCAGGTGCTATTAAGGATCTTCTTGCTCATATTACTGAAGAAAAAGCAACTGTTGTTGGTGTTGCAACAAGAAGACCAGCAACTTCTGCTATTGGGATATGTTTATGTGATGTCCAAATGGAGTGTTATGGAGTAGAACATCGTGATAAGATTTTTGACGTTCTTAAGGAGGCTGGGTATGCTTTTAATTAAAATTTACCATTTTTTTCTTTCAATAAAAACAAATTCCCTATTTTTCCTTTCAGGAAAGATAATAAAAAATGTAATATCAATGAATGTAAATAATTATTTCTTTAGCATTTGTTTTCCAATTTGTCCAGATTTTAATTGTGCAATAATTTGAGTCATTGGGTCTTCGTTTGATCCAGGAGCATAAGAATTAGTTTTAAGTTCTTCATTAATAATTTTTTGCCTACTTTCTTCTACTCTAGCAGCAAGAGTGAGTGCTGTAATAAACTCAGCAAATATACCAAAAAATGTTAAGGTAGTATAAATGTTAGAAGCATTTTCATCAGCAGTAAAAAAGAATAAAGTCTCTTTGAATAGTTTTTCCGTTTGCAAGGCTTTTTGAAGATAACTTCTTGTTTTTTTAGTAATAATGTCAATTTCTTTTTTGATAGAATCGAAGTTATTACCAGATGAAATCATATCAGCATAGATTTTATTAATTCCAACTATTGATGTTTCTGTTTGTTTTAACGAGGTAATAACATTTTGAAGGTCGTCATTAACATCACAACATACTTTTAATTCTGTTTCTACACTTTTAACATCAACTGAGGTTGTCAAAAATTCAGCGTATGTTTGAGATGATCCAATAAATTTTAGTAGAGGAAGAATTTCCATTCCAAATCCATCTGCTCGTTCTAATTGACTACAACCACTATTTACAAAATTACCAATATTTAATAGTGTTGCAAGTACAGGTTTTAATGCTGAAGATTTTCTTACTGCATTACAAGCAGCATCTATTGTTCTTAATGGAGTTAAAAGATCATCCAATTTATTATGGACTTGATTACATTGAATACTGATTTGAATTTTTTGATTAATAAAAGGCTCTTTCAAAATTTTAAGAGCATATTGATCAAGTGTAGAGTACTCTTGAAATGAAGTAATATTTTCATAATCTTTTAAATTAGCTCTTTTAATTATATTCATTACAATCATCATTGTTTGTTCATCAACGTCTCTATTTTCTCCATTAATACTTTTTAATAATAATGAATTATTGATTCTACTTTGTAATAATACAAATGCATTTCTTAAATATCCTTCAATACAGTGTTTTCCTTCAATATTAATAGGACCTTTTCCTTGCATTAGTGGAGGAGGTGGTGGTGGGTTTGTTAATTGTTCATCAAAAACATTAGTAACTTCATCTTCTATTTGAATTTGAGGTTTTTCTCTAAATTCCATATCAGCAAGTTTATTTTTTAATAATGTCCTTTCAAATTCAAATCCATCAATAATTTTTTTATTACTTTTAATTTCATTAATCATTGTTTCTCTTGAAGGATATTCTAAAATACTTTTAATTTTTTCTTCAATAAGAATACTTTTATTATTTAATTCTTTTTCTTCTTCTTCAAGTTTTTTAATTTGAGTATTTTTCATTACAATATCACTTTTAATAACTTTCTCTTTTTCTTTTAATTGTTTTAATTCACTATATAATTTATTATATTCTTTGTCTAATAAAATTCTTTCATTCTCTATTTCATTCATTTCTGGTCTTAATAACTTTAAATCATCCCATCCCTTTTTTGTTTTTCCAGTTTCTCCAACAATTTCTGTATTAATATTTTTTAAACACCTTTGAATAATTTCAGAATTACATGACTTTAATTTATTTAAAACATCAAACTCTTTAATTAATAAAATGATTGTATCTTTAGTCTCTCCTATCATTAATGAGTCTATAAGAAGCATTGCATTTTCTGATGTTTGGATATCTCCAGACAATGCCAACTCTACTAAATTTTCAAACTTTCTTTTTCCATTTTTTGTAGCAAATTTTCCAGCTGCCTCTTCAATACCATCAGACCCACAAAAGGTAGTTAATACTGTACATATTTCTGCTGCTTGCCGAGAAATAGTTGCAGCAGTGTCTTTTGTTAATAAAGAATATAAAATGTCACTAGCATGTTCCCATTGAACTACAGCATTAAACCCTATTTCATCTGACATTAATACTAATAACGCATTTAAAGCATAACTTTGAGTGTTTCCTTCAGATTGAGCAATTGAATCAAATAATTTTAATACCCCTCCATATTCAATAAAAAGGGTGATGTATTGTTTATCAATAAATTTTGATTTTAAATTGAACATTAATTGTTTATGTAAAACTGAACCAATCTGTTGAAAAACATTAATATCTCTTTTAACATTTTCTTCAATGGTTAAATGAAGAATTAATGACTCTCCATCAATATATCTTGGTTTTTCATTATTTTTTGTTATTATTTCATAATTTTCAGGATCTGCAATGTTTGCAATTCTCAAAATATCACTTTCTGTTGTTTGTGTAATAGGAATATTAAGTAATTCCATTGTTCCATCTTCATGGTGGTATTCAACGTGTAACATTATAATTTAAACCATCTCTTTAAGATTTCTTTTCTCAAAAAATCTATATCAAATGAACTAAATAAACTAAAAAACTAGTAAGATATATACAATAGTAAGTTTTGGAAGGAGTTTCTCTTCATGTTTTTATTTTTGTTTTTTTTAATTTTTTAGTTCCCTCATTCTAAAAATTTTGTGATTCATAACATTTATAAAGTTTTTTTTTTAAAATAAATTATTGGCAGTCAAAGACCTTTAAAGATCTTTAAAAATTTGAGATTTCATTAACTAAAATGTATTTTTGTAATGTGAAAGAAGTAACTTTACGTCGATTTGATTCTTCTTTCGTTCTTTTATTTTCGAAGAAAAAAAAAAATAATATATTCAACTCATTATCCACTCACAGCTATCTTGAAGTTTTTTTGTATTAAAAAAAAACAAGAAATATTAGATATCAATCAAATTGATAAAAAAAAAAGAAAACACAAATGTAAGACCTTTTGGATTTTTAGTGAATAAAATTTTTTTCACAACTTAAAAGTTTGAGAGAGAATTCTTAAATTAAATTTAAGGAAATAAAAGTAAAAAAAAAGGATAAACTTAAGAAAGTAGAAGAAAAAAATTACAATAATTAAGAATGAACCCTTTATTTATATTGAAAATATATAAAAGGGAGTTATTGAGTGAACTGTAATATCAAATAATTTATGAGTACTCTTTATGTACCAACAGTAAAAACTGAAGTTGTTCGTCCAATTGCTTGTAAAAATACTTCTGAACTTCTCAAAATGGTTGACAGTTGTACTTCTGCTAGTCTTGCAAGTTATTCTCTTATTGAAGACTATACTCAACGCAGACCAGTTGTTGTTGAACGACCTGAAGATCCAATTGCTAACGAATTAACCAATGAAGAAAATGATAATGGCAGTAATGATAGTGAACAAAATGAAGAAGAACAAAAAAATGTTATTATTCAACAAAGCCCAACTGCGATGGACATGAACGATGGATGTTTTGATTATCCATTTTGAATGAAACAACATATCTTTGGTGAATTGTACATGGCTTTATTAGAAGATGTCAAATAGGTTTTAGATAAACATGTAATTTATCACTATTTCTATATTAAATTTTAATTTAAGAATTGTGTTATAGATTACAAAAAAAATATCTTATTGTTTTTAAGTTTATAATAATTTTTTTAGTTTATGTTATTAAATTTATGATTTCTTTTTTTTTTTAATAAAAAAACAAATAAGCTTATTTAAATTACTCTAATGTCAGATGATTCGACTTGTCCAGTTTGTGGAGGGAGTCAAATTGATAAAAGTATTACTGGACAATTAATTTGTGTTCAGTGTGGAAATATTATAAGTGATTATACCTTAAAAATTGACAAGGAATTTAAAAATGCAGACAAACCAGAAACAAGATCAAAACTCGGGCCTTTAAGAAGAATTACTAAAACAGGAGCTGGACTAAACAAACGTCTTGGAATTATAAAGAGAAGGGCAGAGCTAAAAGAAAAGTTAAAGATGCGATATATTCGAGAAAAGAGGGCTATGTCAAGAGACGACTCATACTTTACTTCTCTTCAAAAAATTTCTTTTATTTATTGTGAAATAATGGCTAAATTTTATGGGGTTGATATAGAAGAAGCTTTAAAACATATTCGTGAACAAATTATACAGTTTAGAGGATATAGTGAAGACCCAACAGATTTAATCAACCAACGACTTAACAAAATGAAGGCATATGAAAATCAGTTAAAAAAATATAAAATAAGGGATAAACTAGAAACATATCTGAAGAAAAAAAAACTATTCTTCGAACACTTACGCAAGAAAAAAGAGTCACAACATAAAGAAGAATCAGCCAAAGAAGAAGAATCGGTCAAAGAAGAAGAATCAGAAAATACAGACAAATTACTTGGAGAAGAGGTATTACAAAAGGTGGAAAGGTTACTTGGTGGAGAAGAGTCAGAAGGTATAGATAAGTTAGTTAGTGGAGAAGGATTTTTTAACAAATTGGATGAAGAAAACCCAGAAGGTAACGAATCTAATTGGTTAGAACAAGAATATTTGAAATATTCAGATGTAGCAGATAATAAACATACTGTTAATAAATATTCTGAAAAAGAGTATGAGATATTTAAAAAAAGTTTGGTTAGTAGTATTGAAGATCCATTTATTAAAGAGGCACTTAGTCGAGACATGAAAAGTGATGACCTCTATAAACAATATTTAAAGCCTATAAAAAGATTAAATAAAAACTACCAAAAAACAGGAGATATTATAGTTGATACTATAGAAAAGTATAGAAGGGGAAGAGTTGTTTTAAATAAAAGGCTTTCTTCAGAATTCCCATTATTTTCAACTTATATTGCTTTATTTCGTTGTGGTCACAAAATTCCTTATCAAATATTTTTTAAAGATGTTGTTAATCAAAGACTACCAATATTTAGTAATCTAACCATTATCGAATCACTTAGAAGTGATCATAAATTTGGTAATTTCATTTTTAATTCATTTGGTCAATATATGATGGATTCACTTCATTTTACTCGTAGATTGGAGTATTGGAACTTTCATTACAACATTGGTGGACCTTTTTTAACTATTGAAGAATCTATGAAAAGTTATATTAATGAATTAGATATTCCAGAAGGATTTTATGATTTAGCAATGATATTGTATGGTGCATTACATCAAAGTCATCCATCAGTTTATACCTTTATGTCAATGATATTTCTAGCAGTTAGATTTTCAACCCTTGGATGGGATAAAATAAATGATAAGTATTTTGTTAATAAGTATATACACAAATACAGTTATAGCTGTGGAAATGTTTTAGTATCAACTTGTTATGAAATTGAATTACTTAATGAACGAGGGAAAGTTGAACAACTTATTGATGCAATGACTAGTTCCAATGTTAATTTTCAAAAAAAAATGCAACAAACACAATCAAAAAATATTCCGCTTTATCATATTATTGAAAACTGGAAAAGAAGGACTCGTGGATTAGAAAGTATTTCTTTTAGAAGTTTAGACGATGTCTTAGAAAGTGAATTAGACAGAGAATTTATTAATGATGTTGATTCGTTTGAAGAAAATGGTAGTGAATTAAAAGAAGAAGATGATGAATTAAAAGAAGAAGATGATGAATTAAAAGAAGAACAAGAAAATACTGAAAATATAAAAGGACTGGTAACTGGATATTTTATCCAAGACTTAGAATCTAGTATTTCTGAGAAAAGATTAAGACCAGTCAAAATAAAGAATGAGCTAAAAGAAAAAAATAACATTATTAAAGAAATAAAAGAGTGGTTCGGTATTAATGAATCTAAAGAAGCAGAATCATTATTTAAACCAATTAGGTCTATTAATCAAACAGAACAAAGTATTAAAAGTCCATTAAAAAATAAAGATAACTCATTAAGTAAACATTCAACTAGTTTAAAAATTACTAAAATATTGACTAAATGTTATTCTTCTTTAATTGCATCTATTTCTTATGAACAAACAAGAAAAAAAAGTTATATTCCAAGTCCAACTGACGTTCATGAACAAGAAAATCTTTTTAGAGCGTTCTTTGATTTTGACAATTCCAATCCACCACCTTCTTTTAAGATTTCATTTAAACCGATTCAAACAGAATTTGATGAAATTACTGTAGATGAACAACAAACTGCAATGTTTTCTGTTCGTTCTTTAATGGGAAAAGAATATTTTCAAATTGCAGAAAGTTTTGATTATAAACCATTTGTATTTTCATCTGTAGAAATGATGTTCTTAGAAGTAATAGCAAGAAAATTAAGTGTTTCATGTGAGACACTATTTAGAGATGTAGTTAGACATTGGTACCAACTAGAAAAAAGTTTTATATATCCTTGTGTAAACATCAAAAGAAAAGACTTTTCTCATTTCTATCATTCATCTGAAAAATTAGTTAAAACACTTTTTAACAAATAATTAATTAAAATGTTTTTTTTTGAATTATTAAAACACTTATTTTTAATCATTCATTTTATCATTAAGTTGTTTTAAAAATTCAATATTGTTTTGTACTTTTAAAATAATTTGTTTTCCATTTACTTCAATAGTACAAATCTCTGGATTTTGTTTTTTTGCTGAAACCTTTTCAATGTCTGTATATGTAACTTCTTCTAATAAAAACATCTCTCCATCTCCTGATGGCTTTTCTGCTACAAGCATATCTACACTACTTAATATAACTAAACATTTCTTCCAACAATCAACAGCATCTCCACTAGCAACATTATAGTCAGCTTCAAATGTTGGACTTTCTTTCATTAACTCATCAAAGTAATTTGATTCTTCTGCTTCATCTTCTTCATTGTATTCTTCATCAAATGTAAGTCTTTGACTAATATCTCCATTTGACATTGCTGAGGTATCAATATTCAATGGTTTAATTGGCATATCTAATATATTTGGAAGTGGTTGAATTGGAATTGTATTATTTTGAGTTGCGTTAACTGAACTGTTTAATGAATTTGTATTAGAAGATGTAGAAGATGAAGGATCAGTAACTGGTTCAAGACCCAAATCTAATAAATTAGGAATTGGTTGATTTGAAATTGGTTGAACTGGTTCAACTAATCCACTTATTTGATTAGTTCCTTTTGTTGATGAAACTCTCATTTGTTGACGTTCCTTTATTTCAGTATTACTTTTAACCGGGGTTATTGTTTGGTTTTGTTGAATAGGAGAATAAGGTTTATGTACTGTAGACTGAGAACCTCTTTGAGGAGAAGGTGGTGCCTGTGAATTATTAGATTGATGTGATAAATTTGAAAAGAAAATAGTGGCTTTTTCTGTAAATTTCTTAGTACCTTCAGTAATTTTCATTGTGAGTTTAGCTAATTCAGGAGGAGTACAAAGAGGACATACAGAAGGAATGTGATTTATTACTTCAAATCCTGGGGTTTTATTCATTGCTAATTTATGATAAAGATGGTACCCACTTAATAATACACCAAGTCTTTTAATACCACGTTTAATAAAATCAAGCATAATCATTGTTAACTCACTTAATGATGGTGTTTGTTGAAGAGTTTTACCTATTTCACCACATCCATAAATAACTACATGAATATATTTTTTTGGATCTCTTAAGCATTGAAGCGGTTTTGATTGGAAAAATTTACTAACATATTTCTCATCTTCTCGTTTAGTATAATCAAAATTTACTGCATTTCCAATATTTCCTCCTCTATACATTTCTTGAGTACGACAATCAATAAATAAAACTTCCATTCCATTTTTAATATCATTTACTAATGAATGAGGTTCAACTGGAAGAGCTAATGTTGATCCTAATGATTGTGAGTACCATCTTTGAAACATTGCTTCATTTCTAAAACAAGAAGACAATAAGAGTTTAAAGGAAGTTAAAGTACGACGTTCTAAACTAGCAGCACGACAAATGACAATACGTAGGTCTTCAGAAGAAATACGTTTAACTTTAAGTAAAGTAATAAGTTCATTCTTTTTAGTTTCTTTCATAATGTCATCTTTAATTTGAATTAAATAAGCAACAACAGCGTAGTAGAAAAGATATTTATTTGAATTAAGGATAAACTCATCCCATAATAAAAGAACGTCATTTAAAGTTTCACCTGTAGAGAAGAGTACATTGTATAAGAAACGGTTTGTATAAAGAACAGGTTCAACTCTAAAAGAATCTAAACAATGACATAATTGAGGGTCATGATATTGAAGTAAAATATGCATTAAACAAAATAACCCTTTTTGAATAGAAGGATATAAATGAGTAAAATAAGGTTGTAACATATTTAAGAATGAAAATACACCACCTAATCTAAATTCTATTGTTTCTTTGGGGTATAAATAATTAAATACTAAAGCAACAATTACTGTAGGAATAAAATTTGGAGATGTTTTAGGTTGAATTAAAGTAGTTGCAATTGAATAAGAGTCTTTAATTAATTCAGTTCTTTTTGATTGACCAATAACAGAAATCAATTTATTTACTAATGGAGGTACATCAGCTTCTACAATAGTTAAATTAAGATGGTTAGGTAATTTAATTGGTTTTATGTCTAATAAAATTTTCCATATCTCTGCTCTCATAGTGTCAACCAAACCAAAATGCAAACAAAGTTGTTGAAGCATGGCAGTATCCTTTTCTTCAATAGTATTTTGAAACAAAGAAAGGATTCTATTAAATAAGTAATATTATTTTATAAAAGATAAAAAAGAATATATAAAATAAAAAAAAGTTAAATAGAAGCAAACGGTTGTGAGTAATTCATTTTTCTTATTGTTTTTTTGGTTAATTATTAGTTCTATCTTTTAAATAAAAAATACTTAAATTATATTTTACTTCCAAATCTTAACAGAAACAAACAACTTACAAAAATCACTTCTTTAAATCAATAAATAATAAAATAATCCTTTCAATTTTATTATTCAAATTTTAGAACAATAAATCGTTTTATTTGTAAAGGAATATTCGTTTCTAAATTATTTAATCCATAAATTTTATGAAAGTCTTGTGTAAAAGTAGCAATTAAATGACTATCTAACACCATTCCATCTTTTATTTCAAATATTTTTTCTGTATCTTCTTTAGGTGGGATTCCAATTATTTCTGTTCTTCCAAATTGTACTTCTGAAATTTTTGGAGAGATATGTTCTTTATAAATTATAAATGAAAAGAATTCATTTCCTTTTTGAATGTATTGAGTATTATTTGAACTATATGTTTGTAAACATTGTGAATTAAAAAATCCAAAAAAATATTGATCACAAATTAATAAAAACACAATATCCTTTTGTTGATAAATATAATGTGCTAAAACATATGCTTTATTATCTACCCATAAATCATACTTACTATCTATTAATATTTCTTTACATCTTAGTCCAGTCCAATTATTAATTATATGAACATTATCTCTAATAAATTGTAATTGATAATCTCCATCAATATTTTCAAATAATTCCATCTTTATAAAAAATACTTTTAATTAAATGAATAGATCTAAATATTTTAAACTTGTAAAATTTATAAAAAGGTTGGTTTTGTATAATTTTTTTTTATACAATTCTTTAATTTATCTTCTACTTTTTTATTTTTTATTTCTTATTTATCAAAACAATTATTTAATTTTGATTTTAAAAACAGGTTAATTAGAACAAAAAGCAGCATACCTTTCAAATGAAACTGTACCAGAAGAATCTATGTCCATAGTTTCAAAAACTGCTTTAACTTTTTCAGAAGATACCCCAAACTTTTGTGCTGATTGAACAAATTCAACTAAAGTTAAGACACCATCTTTATTTAAATCCATCTCATCAAAAGTTTGTCTTAGTTGTTTACTCATTACAAGGAGTAATTGAATAAAAATAAGTTTTTAATTATCTGTTTAAATATTGTATTATTTTATCAATTTTTTATTACTACTACAATCTATAAATAAAACTATCGATGGAATGTGTCAAAATAAACTTCCAAGAAAATACTATTTTAAATTATCTCTTTAGTGATATAATAAAAATATGTTGATTAGTTCACTACAAACAAAGGTTCTAAAAGTAAATAAGGACTGACAGACTATTACAATTAAATTGTTTAGAGTATTTCTAATACTATAATCTATAAATATAATTTAAAAAATCTTAAAAAGAACTAAAAATATAAAAAGGTTTTATGGTAATTTTCATAGTTATTATATTCTTCTTTATTTATCATAGTAATTCGTTTCATGTATATCAGGAGATAGAAGACAGTTGGTATTTTCAAAAAGTCAATGAGAACAAAACGATATTTAGTATTGATTCATTTGAAATAAATAATCACAAAGAAGTATCTATTAATTTTCATGACGATTTAACAAATAAATTTATTATGAAATTGTATTGTTTTAAACATAACACTATTCGTTTTAAAATAAAACATATTAGTGGTCCATATTATTTTAAACGATATGAATATCCATTTCATTCTTTTTTAAATAAAGTACCATTTAATTTATTAAATAATAAAACTAATTATATTTCACTTAATTGTCAATCAGTAACCATTCAAATAACTAATTCTTCATTTCAATTCAATGATATTATTATTGATTCATTATTGTTTAAATCAATTAAATATAATAATCAAATTGATAATTTTAATAATCATACTGATCTTTTAATGCATGGACTAACTTCAACTGGATTCTCTCTTCATTTAAAAAATTATACAAAAATGTATGGATATCCAAGACATACACAATTTGAGCTATTCCCTTCACAAAAACCATATCGTTTATTTAATGTTGATCCATTTGGTTATAATCTTACATCACCTAATTCATTAACAGGATCTATTCCATTCATTCTTATGAATTCAAATGGAACATGGAATGGTATTCATCTTAATAACCCTACTGAACAATTTATTACTGTTTCATCTACTGGATTTAGATATATTACAGAATCAGGAAATATAGATGTCACTCTCTTTTTAAATGATTCTCCTTTATCTATTGTTTCTCAAAATATGAAATTAACAGGGTTACAACAATTACCTCCTCGTTGGATGTTTGGATATCAACAAGCAGCAGAATGGTATTTTTCAAATGATACTATTAATGAAGCTATTTCGAAATTTCAAAAAACTAAATTACCATTTGATTCTTTATGGCTTTCTCCATATGCTAATTTTAATTTTCAATCATTTTCAATGAACACTGATATTTCTCAACAATTTATTGATAAGGTAAATAAAAAGAATATTAAATTAGTATTTACTGCTCTTCCATTTATTAGAACTTTTTTACTTAATGAAACAGAATCTTTATTAAATGGTAGTTTTTTAATCAACGGAACATTAAATCACTGTATTTGTAATTCTGTTGGATGGGTTGACTTTACAAATAAACAAGGATATGAATGGTATCGTTTTATGTCTAAAACATCACCTGTATTAACTTTATGGGCAGACTATAATGAACCTTCTTCTTATTTTTCTAATGAAATGACATTATTTAGAAATGCTCAACATAAAATATATGAACATAGAGAAATTCATAATTGTTATAGCAATTTACATGTTCAAAGTCTTTTTGAAGGAGTTAGTCAATCAAACTATTATCCATTTATATTAACTAGTGGATTCTATAGTGGAATTCAACAATATGGAGGTGTTATATTAACCCAAACATCATCAAATTGGGATAATCTTTATTCTGTTGTAAAAGAATCATTATCAATGAGTATTTCTGGAGTTTCATTTGTTGGAAGTGATATTGGAGGTTTTTATGATACTGTTAATTCTACTCTTTATCTTAGATGGTTACAAATACAAACATTTTTTCCTCTTTTTCGTGGTAATGGAGAAATAAATGGTTATAGAAAAGAACCGTTTATGTTTATTAATAATATTAGATTTATTAGATTTGCTTTTTCTTTGAGATATCAGTTTATTGATTATTGGTATTCTTCATTTTATTACTCTCGACTTTCATTTCTTCCTGTTATAAGACCTCTTTTTTTAAATTACCCAAATGATCAAACAACATATTCTATTGATACTGAATGGATGATTAATAATGATTTATTACTCTGTGGGGTATTTAATGAAACACAAAACCTTCAAGTTTATATACCAAAAGGAATTTGGTATAATTACCTTATTGATGAAAGAGTAAATTCAAATGGTCAATGGTTTAATATGGAATTAGATTATGAATTTATTCCATTCTTTGTTAAAGGAAATACTATCTTATTATTAAAAAAATCAAAAACAATATCAACTATTAATCAACTAAAACAGAAATACACTATGAATATTTATTTAGATGAAAATTATCAAGCATCATCAAATTGGTATTGGTCTGAGGGTAAACAACAACATGAGCCCTTCTATAAAATGACAATGAATTTCTTTAATAATTCATTTAACTATCGTATTTACTCATTTGATGAAATGGGTAATCCAACAACATTTAATTCCAACCATCATAATTATTTCAAATGTAATTCTATTGTTATTTATGGATTACCTACTATTCCAAAACAAATATTATTAAAAACAGAAAACAATATAATAGAAGTACCATTTATTCATTCATTAATTAAATTAGTAATTAATCCTTTACAGTTAGTGTTAGACCATTCTTTTAAGTTACTTCTAAAATATAATTGATTTATTTTTATAGCAAAAAATATTCAATTTCAATCAAATTAAAGCATGAACTTAGATTTACTAGTATCATCAGGATTACTTTTATCAATATTACGGAAGTAAATATATTCAGGGTTAACAGTATTCATTGTTCCTCTTTGAATAGAACGTAATTTCAGAATGAATCTAGGACCTAATTCATCAATTAAACATTTTACTGGACCTTTAGCACGATCAAAGTTATCTTTTGCTTCATCAAATTGATAAATATGATGTCTGAAAAATATAAAATCTCTTTGAGAATGGAAAGTAACAACTCTTCTTCCTTTAAAATTCGGTTTTTGACTAAATAAAGCATTTAACTGTCTTGCAACCATTACACCAAGTCGTGTTTGGAACCCAGTTGTTAAACACTCACAAGGAACATGCCATGTTGAAACTGTAACGTGACCTTTTATATCTTTAGGTTTCATTAAATTAAATAATTTGAAATGGAAAGAAGGGCCACAAGGCATATGAATTATATATAAATCAGCTATTGAATAAACATTTTATTCTTATAAAAAATATTAATAAATATTAATAAAATAACAAACTACACTCCTTATGATTATCATTACAAACAATAATATCAGTATAATCATTTCTTTTTGCATAGTTAATAATTTTATGCATAGTACTTTGTTTTCTTTCAAAATATTGTGCATTATAAAATATTCTACTTAATAAATAAGCAAATTTCTTTGTGTTAGAATGGGCTGCAATTGTTGAAGTAACAATAATTTTTGGTTCTCTTCCTTTATAATAAGCTGAATATTCATCATTTTTAATTTCTTCAACAGCCTCTTCATCATTTTGGAAATCAACAAAAGAATCATCTTTAATACGTTTACTTTCTAATGTTTGAGGTTGTTGTGGTTTAATTTTTCCTTCTTTAATAAGTTCTCTTCTCTTTCTTCTTATAGAAGCCATTTCTTTTTTTCTCTTAGACAATGTATTTAATCTTCTAGGTTTCTTAACTTGTTCTTTCTCACGACTATCTTTCTTTCTTTCCATAATATCCTAACAAATAATTTAATTTTTATTTAGTTCTTTTTATTAATTAATTTTACTGTTTCTTAAACTTGACTAAAAACCCTGTTATCCTATAAATAATAAATAATTTGACGTTTTGATGAAAGAAACTTAAAAATATACTTTCATCTATAAATTAAAATCTTTTAGTTAATTGAATAAATTGGCTTAACGTTGAATTTAATACATTAACCCATTCTTCAAAATCTTCACCATCTGGAAAGAAAAGATAATCAATTGTTGTACCACAATGAATTTCAAAAGTTCTTGGTTCTTCACCTGAAGGGCCAAAACGTTTAACATCTAAGAAACGAATTTGTTGGTATTGTTCCCATTGTAAATAGCGAGTTTTGTTATTTGTTAGTGATAATTCACACACATTTTGGATGTAACAAATTCTATCATTAAACAAAAAAGCAAATGATAATGTAGTTGGTGAATTGATTAATAACCATCCATAATACAAACAATATCTCCATGATTGAACTAAATTTTCTGAACAACAAATACAAGAAGATACATCAAGTAAACAATCATGCATTTTTGATTGAGTATTCACATTTGAAATTAATTGTTCAAATTTAAGTTGAATCTCTTCAAGACGTTGATATTCTGGATGAAAAGATGAAGTATTTTTGATAAGTTCTTTAAGTAGTATTGGATATCTCATCAGTCGTTGAACTGGCCTAAACTAATAAGTATTTATTTTTATTCTATTAATCCGTTATACATAAAATATCAACAAACATAATAATAAGGTCATTAAATGATAATCCATTTAAATCTTTAATAATGCTTTGTCTTTTAATAAACTCTTTAAATCCTTTCACTTTAAAAGCACTTACCAAACTCCTTCTTTGTGTTTCAAATAATAATGTATATTCTGCAAGTGGTGCCATAAGTTCAATGCATTTCACTAATGCATCTCCAAAACAACTATCATACTTCCATCGAACTCGAATATCTTCAAAAGTATTAGCTATTAAACAACCATTTAAAAATACACTTTCAATTCTTGGTAAAATACTTTTAATCATTAATAATGGCAGTATTGTAGTTTCTGGGTTTTTTGCTCGTTCAATCAAAGGTTCATTAAAAAATACATCCAATTTTCTCATTGAATCTACAAATGAAACTTCTGTTGTACTAAATTCATTAATAACATCAAATCTTCTAAATATACTACTTTTATTATATACTCTTCGAGTTAAAAAACCTCGACAATATGATTGAATAATTTCAATTCTTGGAACTTCCATTGAAACTTACTAACCTTAAATAATTATGACTTTTTAGATTTTTTATTTCTTTTTTGTTCAACTTTTTTATAAAGTCTTATCATCCTCATAAAAAAGAGAAGATTGTATCAGATGATGAAACATAAAAATGTCTTATTTAAGAGTTAATCTCCAGCAACTGCTTTAGCCTTTCTTAAAATTTTATTTTTCATTTTCTTTTTAGCCATTATGGCAAGTCCTTCAATCATAAATGGATATCCCTTCAATTTAAGACATCCCCCTGGTTCCATAAACAAATCCATTGCAACAGAATCAGCTTTTGGAGTTGCACTGACAATACTGATCAACAAACAAAATAAAAGAAACAATATCATCATTATTATAGAGTAATATTATGACCTTTATTAGTTTTTTAATTAATTTTTAGAATTTTGTTTTTTCTTTTATTATTTATCATATCAAATACAAGAAACTATGAAATATATCTGTTAAAATTTCATCTAAAAATCAGTGAATGAGTGTTTATATTGAAAAGAAAGAGAGTCTTAAGAAAGAACGATGGGAAACAATTGAGCGTATTGTTAATGATATTGTTGATGAAGGCTCAATAGAAGAATTGGAACGAATGAAAGAATGTATTAAAGAAAAAATTAAAGAATTTCATTATAACCAAGAAATTAACAAATTTCAAGGATTATATTCTGATAACAAATATAATGGTCCTACAATTGATCCTGACCATAAAAGTGATGAAGGGAGGAGTTGGTTTAATTATAAAGGAAACAATATTATAGTTATTGACTTAAATAAATACCCATGTCCAGATGCTAACCCAAACACAATTCAAGAATTTAATTTAAATGGCAAACTGTATTATGTCACTTTCATTTATTCTTATTCTTCAGTTCTTACTCTCGAGAAGGCTGAACAATTACTTATTTGGCAACCACTAAATACTCATATTATGAAAATTAATTTAACAATCCCTTTTTGGTGGAAAGATGACTTATTTCCATATATCGTTGAACACCGACCATACTCTCCCTCTTGTGAATCAAACGAAAATTCTTCTCTTTCAGTACAAGATTTAGTTGATTCAACATTTCTAGTAAATTCAAGTGAATTAGAGGATTTTATTGATATTCCAATACTGATTCCTATCCCTGTTGTTAAAAACCGTTCTTGTTATTCAATTTTGTATTATGATTATTGGCCTTCAGGTTCTTATCAAAATGTATTACAATTCATCATATCGTCCAATCTTTCCTAAGTTTTCTTTAAACCTTTAATTTTACTTTTATTTCCTAGTAAACTTTTCCTTCAATAAAGTTGTAATAACTAACAAATTATCAATAATCAATCTTTTAAATTGGTGAGGGTAGTAGAATTTATTGTACCATAATTATAGTGAGTAGCAAAAATATCAAATTATTTTATAAAAACAAAAAGAAAAGTTCTAAAATATTCTTTATTCAACAAAAGATTGAATTCTGGGTGATTAGGAGTAATAATTCCTGTCTTGAAATTCTGAAATAAGGGAAAAGGGAATCATTTAGAATAGTTAATTCAAGGAGAAGTTTAGTCTTTAGTTCTTCTAAAAAACTTAAAATTCATTTTCATGTTGTTTAAAACCCTTCACAGCTACACATTTGTTCTTGTTGGTCCTATATCAAGTGGTAAAAGTTCATTACTTAACTGTCTTATTGAACAGAAAAGCTGTTCTCATTGTTCTTCAACAGTAACAAATAGATTAGAAGTTGTAATGTTTGAAAATGAAGAAGAGGCAATTAAATTGGAAATATTAGATACACCTGGAATGAAATATATGATCATTATCACATTATCTTTCACTACTTCATGCA